ATTTACATTTTAACATCTCTTTAAACTGGAAGGCATTTTACAGGCAACAGCATTTTATAATTATAATTGGCAGCATTTTTCTCCAAATTATACATAAAATTGTGGTGCATCTTAATAGTGGTACATTTTATAGTCCATGGCATCTTAGATTCAGAGAAGGATGGTAGCAAAAGTTAATATTCATTAAGTAAAATTGTTACGAAGGACATTTAACTTCTCAAGAATTACTCAAAATGTATTATATTGCTAATGCAATAGACCATACAAGTATCTTTTTAACAGCTTTTCTCTGTATTTCTATCTCTGTAGCATTAATCTTGTAAATGGACGTATAAAAGAAGGGTATTTTTTTACATGAAAAAAGAATAACCTGCTGCATATAAAACCCTAAGCAATGATTTTTCTGTTTTCTATATATTTGATATACTTTAAATTGTACTTTTAATGTTAAAATTACCTTGAAAATTGTGGATAGTGTTGTCCCCTTTCATTGTGATATTTCTTCTATAATACTGTATATATTTTTTTAAAGCTCCCTAATCTGTAATTTAAATTGCTAAGGTAACATCACAAAGGAGGAAGATGATAATGTTATTGGCACTGTCGTTCTTTCCCGGATCAAGCTCTACAGTTCCTAAGTGGTGAAGCCTGTTCCACAAATTATCTTTTGCTAAATTAATTTTCCACTGAAAGAACTAATTAAATGCATGAATCCTCTGAAACCTTTGGACACTGAAATTGTCCATTCAGCAAATATTTTATTTTTCAAGCTTATTTCAAGAGAAGTTAATATGATGTTCATTTGTTTAACCTACAGACACTTGGTTCACCTGCAAAGGTCATGATAGAAACTGGCAAATGGTCCATTAGCCTTGTCAGGGAATTTATTATGCTCAGAAATAAACTCTCCAGGGGAAAAAAAAAATCACAAACACACAAAAACATAAATGTTGTCATGTAGGTTTTTTGCCTGGAATTTTCATCTCCCACATTAGCCACTTTTGATAATAAATGAATGTTGTGATGACTGTTGGGGAGAAGCAGGCATATTTACTCTTCTGAAAGCTGCTAATGATTCTTTTTCTTTTTTTTAAATTTATTTATTTATTTAAGTTTATTTATTTTTTTAGTAATCTCCACACCCAACTTGGGGTTTGAACTCACCACCCCGAGATCAAGAGTCACACGCTCTACCAACCAAGCCAGCCAGGCGCCCCCCTTTTATTTTAAAAAATAGCAGTACAGTCTACCATAAAATGCACAGGGTTGTATAAGAGGCACTGAGACCTACTGAAAAGAACACATTTCTTGGATTCTTACAAGATGGGTTGAAGTCCCATTTTAGCCACTTACCATGTGACTTAGTTTCATTATTTAGGCTAGCTGAAACTCAGTTTCTTCAGTTGGGAAATAATGCTTGGAATAATAACCCTCTTCTTGCCGAGCTAGTCTCAGAATCCTGAATGACATGTAGCACATGGTAAGTGCCTGACCTGTAGTAGGAATTCAGTACATGGTACTAATTATTGTTATTGCTAATTATTATGGTTTTCAGCCACATTTGTTCATAAGAAATCTGTTGCCACAAAAACTTGGTCATTGTCTTTAAATAGAAATCATTATTTTTTTTCGTTTTAGTTAATCCAGCTTTTTTATGCTCCCATCCTTTTCCTTTCTTTTGAGAAAATCTCAATTACATATCACAAAGGTGGCTTCAAAAGCACTCCTACTTCCTATTTTGCTGCTTCTGTGGAAGATTGTATGCAGACTATTGTATTCTACAGTAAGGGTTGACAAACTTTCTGTAAAGGACCAGATAATAAGTGTTTTGGGCTTTGCAGGCTTTGCAGTTATAACATTCTCGTTATAACTACTCAACTCTGCTGTTATAGCATGAAAACAGCCATAGACAATATGTTAATAAATAAATGTGGCTGTAATTCAATAAAACTTTACAAAAACAGACTTCTAGGTGAATTTGGCCCACAGGCCATAGTTTCCCAACCCTTACTCTGTGTTATGCTGGCTTAGCAATGAGTGCTGTCACCATGGCTCAGAGGATTTATGTAGCTGAGGCCATCTGAAAGTAATATTTAGCAAATGCTTCTCAGACCATAGAGCCGTGTGCCGTTTAGAACACCTTTAGTCACGTGCTTCTCTACTACAGCTATTCTACCATCGTGTGGCTGGTTGTCGTCTTGTTCACAGCAGAGTGTTGGCTACTTATAGCCTCACCATTCCTGCTTCAAATCTGAGCTACTGCCCTTCTTGTCACTACTAAATTGGATTTTGCTGTTGCTTTTTGTTCCTTCATCCTTTTTCCAAATTTCTGTTCTCTTCTTTCTCTAGTCCCCCTTCCTGGCTGTTTCTCCTCTGCAATTCAGTGTTCTTCTGAGCAGCTTGAATTTTATACCTTTTGCCAATAAGTGAGAGGCTTCCTATCCTTCTGGCAGGGAATGAAGCCATAACATAGAATCTGATGTAAGCCCCAAGACTTAGTCACTCCTCAGTCATTTTTGTAACTTCTTCCTCCACTGGATTCTTTGTTTGTTGACAGAGTTTCTTCTTTGCTTTAATTTGCCTTACCTTCATTTATTTATTTTATAGTTATTTTTAGACCACCAAAAATATATATCAGGTGTATGCTCAGCAGTGGGAATGCAAAGATGAACATAATAGGCATTGTCTTTACCCTCATGAAGTTTAGCAAAGAGGACACACATTATGTAAAGAATCACACAAATAATTATGTTGCAATAGGTAGTAGAAAGGAAAAACATAATTTGCAGTGACAAAATCTAATAGGACCTAGCCTGAGAAGTCAAAGAAGGCTTCCCTAAGGAAATGCTTATAAGCATATAATAAGCCTTAAATAAATATTTGTGAAATGAATGCAAAAATGCAATTATATTTAAGGGGAAACCTGAAAGGTTGGCAAGAATTAACCAGATAAAGTTTAGAGAATGAAAGTGAGAGGGGAGTCCAGACAGAGGAAGCAGTATGTGTGAAAGGCTCTGAAGTTGGTTCTCTCAGTGAAGCAAACGATGACTTGAGAAGAGGGGGGAAGCATTGCTTCTCAGAATGAAATGCTAGAGGTCACCAGGGTTGTGTTAATGAAGGCAAATAGGCTATGTTTAAGGATCTGGACTTTGTCCTAAGAATGATGAGAAACCACTGATGGTGACACGATGGGTTCCTAGTTCCACATGGCTTCAAATACTTGAAGTTGTCAGAAGGCCAAGCTCTAGAAACTCTCCAGAGTGTACCTCCTGCAAAATAAAAATAAACAAATAAATATACCTGAACCTAAACCTGAACTCTTCTACATTTGAAACAGATATAAATCACTACAACTTTCAAATTTCCACTTGTCGGCAGTCCATGCCCCTATGATACTGGTAGCTATTTCATGAGTATATAGTATTCTATTAAAGGCTAATAAAAAGTATTTATAGATTGGTAGACTGTACATTTTAAAAGTATCAGAGAACACTTAGTCAAGACTATAAGAGGCCCCTCCAAAGCATCCTGGATGAATAGCCATAGTTGTCTTCTGCTGGGATACTGCCAGCGACTTAAATTTCACTACTCTTAAAATTGTTCATTCCAAGTTTGGCGGCGGGGGGCTTTGTTTTCTTGTTTTCTCACCCTGGCTTTTCACAAGTCATCCTTCTGCAAGTGAAAATGTCTTTTGTGTTACTTCTGTCCTTAGTTCTTATTTCTTAGAATTGCATAGAATAAGCCAAATTCACCATTTTTAAAGTGCTTAAAAACCAAGATGCTTGATAAAACCTGAGAATTAGATTATGAATTACAAGGTGGGACTGTGTAAAGAATGCATTAGGATAAGCATGGTAGAATGAGATAGTGATTTATCTTCTAGGGCATAATAACTAGTAAATAATATAAAATCAACTGCACTCAGAACTAGAACCTTGTTTCTTTCCTTTGGTCAACAAATCGTGCACTTACTATGTGAATAACATTCTATATTGCTTGAGGAATAAAAGCATTAAGAGTACTAGGGTTGGGGGCACCTGGGTGGCTCAGTCGTTAAGTGTCTGCCTTCAGCTCAGGTCATGATCCCAGGGTCATGGGATCGAGCCCCGCATCGGGCTCCCTGCTCAGCGGGAAGCCTGCTTCTCCCTCTCCCACTCCCCCCTGCTTGTGTTTCCTCTCTCGCTGTCTATCTGTCAGATAAATAAATAAAATCTTTAAAAAAAAAAAGAGTACTAGGGTTGTAAGATCTTACTCGCAGAGCTAATGATTTCTTTTGAGAGAAAAGATTGTTTGTTTATGTGAGTGCAGTAGGAGAGCACATGCCAAATAAGCAATACTAAACTAGAGCTATAGAAGTTCCAAAAAAGAGACCATGATGGGCTGAGATGGAATAAATCTATTAAGAAATACCTAACTTCACTGAGTTTCTCTTTAAAAGGGGTTGGACCAACCCTTGATTATGATTTATTCCCCCCCCTTCTCCCATTTCCCTTCCACCACCACCTGTATCATTTATTTGGCCTGGATGAGCCTTCAGACAGTGTTTATTGAGTTGAATTACTTTATCTCCCTTGCTATGTTAGTCATGTTGAAGATGTTCCATTCTATAATAATTTTTCTCATTCTATTTTTCGGTGCCTTATGGATTGTTTTCAATGAATACATATGTTTACATTAAAACACATACATACAAAGATGTTCATACCTATTGTGGGAACACAAGCAAAGACCAGCATTTGAAGATAGGTGAAAAAAATTTTTTTCTTTGAGTCTTTTGAAATGGTTCTGTTAGGAGCTTTGCCAGTGTACATTAAGATGACCAGCAGCCTCTTCTGAATGGCTATCCTGGGCTGACCTTAGAGATTAAAATAAGTGGATTATGTGGCACGATGACAGTAACGAGCCATTGATTTAGCAGCAAAGCTTTGCTCACAGATCCTTACTTCTTTGTCTGCCTGATTTCTTTCAAGAACTGCTTTATCGTGTTTCTTTTCCTTCAGCGGAACGGAAGCCCCCGCTTTTCAACATGAATGCAATGAGTGCCTTATACCATATTGCCCAGAATGACTCCCCAACGCTACAGTCTAATGAATGGTAAGACTCTGCTCTCATTTTAAGTCTCTAAGGGAATCACCATATGTATTTGGCACTTTAATTCAATCACATTTTAAATATCTGACCTAGAAACCATACATTCCTTCATTGTATGTTATAGTAAGTGACAGTGGTAGTTTATAGGCATGAACTGGCTATGCACACACACACACACACACACACACATTTTTATTTCTGCCCTCACTGTTACTTGTACTGTGTTCTTAATGTGTGTGTAGGAACTGAAATTCTACAGGGAACATGCCCTGCTGTCTTTCTAATAAGTCTCATCTCTTAAATCCTGACAGTCTTGTATTGATCATCTCAGCTCTTATCACTTCTTGGCAGAGATAAAGTACCTTCTCTGATGTCATTATTTTTCCAGTTGTCATTTCTTTTATTATATGTATATTTAAGAATGTTGACACTGAACATACATTATCTATTCAGAAGACGTATTGTTCCTTATAGAAAATTGTAACATTTTGATAACTGTTTGGGCCACAAGAGTTACAGAAGAAGGGCAATTTTAAACAAGAGTGGACAAAATGGAATTCTCAAGAGAAGGAAGTTTTTCCATCCAGAAACCATATTCCTAAGTTCTCTTCCCTTATGCTTCAAATTTTACTACCTGGTTATAGGTGGGGGGTGATGGAGAAGTTACCAACTAGCAGTGAAGAATATAGGCTTGAGACTTAGGAGAGTTGTTATCTTTGGAAGGAAAAATGTGTATAAAACTATTGTATATATAAATAATAATTTTAATTTTCTGACATAAATTATGATTTGATCTTGCCTATTTGTTAAGATATGTTTGTGTTGACTAACTTGAAACTCCACATTCATTATCCAAATATTAATTTTTAGATACTATAAACTTGAAAATGGTCCACTTCTCCTAATATTCCATATGTTTTATTAAAAATCTCTTAAAGTATAAAACTTTCCCTTGAATGAGAATTATTTTAAACACCCAGTGTATTCCACAGACCCTGATTTTATTTTCTTTTCATGTATTTGCACATATAGGACAGACTCCTTTCGGAGATTTGTTGATTACTGCTTGCAGAAAATACCTCAGGAAAGGCCAACGTCAGCGGAGCTATTACAGGTAATTTTTCAAATTTATATTTGAGTAGGGGGATTTAAAGTCATGTTGTAGTGGAATACAGTAAATCATCTCTGTGGCAGCTCATCATGACAAACTGGATTGGAACGTGCTGCCTTCTCATTTATCCAGAGATAATAGCTAGGCATAGAAACAGCAAGATTATCACAATGGATGGTGCTATATATTCCATGTGGACAGTTTTTTCCCCAGCTTTTCCATCTTCTCTTTTTTCCCCTCCCTCTTTCTGCCTATGACAACAAGTAATTCTCTTTGCTCTGGTCATCATTGTGATTTCCTATGACTAATATCAGCATGAACTTCAATACAGTGCTTTCAGGACAGTCTGCCAATGTTTCACATGCCAACTCGGGGATTTTTGGTTAGGTTGTTGCCAAATCATCAGGCAGTGAAGATGTACAATAAGTGTACAAAGCATACATTTGCATCACATTACATCATACATGTTGGTGACAAGAGTATCACGTTAACTCCATTCATTTGATTTAAACATCGCATTTTTGGGCATCTCGTCATGTAACATTTATTATAAACTTTATATGTAGATTCCATCAATATCAGTGAAGTGTGTGGAGACTTTTACAACATAAATATCTTTTATTTGGCACAAACTAGTCCAGATTTATTTAACCTCTTTATGTATGTATATTTTTCAACTCTTTTTTGTTGGTTGGTTTGTTGGTTTTAAGAAAAACTCAGAAAGATTATATTGCCTAAATTTGAAAGCTTAAGACTGTCAGCTGCCTTTATAATTGAAGAGCACCTTGTCTAGGTCACAAATTCTTGATTTACATTTTCTTTTTCTGAGAACTCTGTAAACATTATTCTATTTTCTGGCTTTAAGTGTTCCTGAAGATGTAGGTCTGAAGCCAGTGAGTTTTTCCACATTAAATTAAGTTTTTTCTTCTTGTAAATAGTAGCCCACAGAAATATGGTGGCCAAAGCAACAAGGCAAAGGACTCTGTCTAATTCCCTTTGGTGTAGGGCTATCCTGTGTTCTAGACATGAACTCTACTCTGTATGCCTCATTGACAGCTCCACATTTCTGTAGGGAAAAACGACAACCAGAACAAAGCACCAGATAACCTAAGATAAAGTAGTATCTTTATTACTTTGAAGTAAGTGAAAAAAATTTTTAAATGGTGGTGGGGAGTAGAAAGCACTCCCATAAAGGGAAAGAGATAATTTGGGGCTATATTAAAATTAAGGGGGAAAAGCACCTCAGAGAAGAAGATAATACAAGGATTCAAAGATGAATTTTAGGGTACAGACACCAAAGGGATATAAAAAGCAAGCAGGCAGAGGTAAGAAAAGAAATGGAAGAGAAAAATTAAAACACAAAATCATAAGCAACAAACTAATAAACCAACCCATGTAGGGTATTTCCAGTGATAGAAAGTTGTAAGGAAATAAAGCAAAGTTAAATGCAAGAGGAAAAATTGTAAAGGTGATCATAATGAAGGTGACTTATGTGGAAGACAGGAGATCTAATATACACCAACCTGTTATTCCTGAAGAAGAAAGCAAAACGCATCTAGCAGAAGATATTTAAAGTGTACCTGAAGAAAAGTTTATTGGAAATAAATGTTTAGATCTTTATTTGACTTGATTTAGTCTTAATTTGATTTGGTGGGCCAAATCACATGAGCCCACCCTTTACTCAGCAAATATTTACTGATTGTCTATTGCATACCAAGCACTGTTCCAAGCACTAAACACACAAGTAAATATATGATATCAGTTCATAGTAAATTCTTTTTTTTTTTTTAAGATTTTATTTATTTATTTGACAGAGAGCGAGAGAGCACAAGCAGGGGAAGCGGCAGAGGGGGAGGGAGAAGCAGGCTCCCCACTGAGCAGGGAGCCTGATGTGGGGCTCGATCCCAGGACCCTGGGATCATGACCTGAGCTGAAGGCAGACACTTCACTGACTGAGCCACCCAGGCGCCTCCGTAGTAAATTCTTTGCGGGAAGATAAAGCAGGGACAGGGATGAAGAGTGATGGTGCCTGGCATTCCCTTTTTCTTTCTTTCTTTCTTTTTTTTTTTTAAAGTAAACTCTACCCCCAACGTGGGGCTCAAACTCACAATCCTGAGATCAAGAGTTGCACATTCTCCCACCAAAGCCAGCTGGGCACCCAGGAGCTGGTATTTTAGATGAGTTAGAGAAGGCCTTTCTAGGAAGATAACTTTTAAGCAGAGCCCTGAAGACAGACACCATGGAACTGATCTTCAGTAACCTGATGAAGTTCCTGAACTCCAAGGATAAAGAAAGATTCCTACAAATAGGCTGAAAAAAAAAAAAAAGTATTTTGGGGTGGATCTTTGACCCAGCTGAGGTGCTTTTTAGTTATAAAGGCAGCTGACATTTTCAAGCCTCACAATTAGTTGATTTTTTTTTTTCTAATAGCTTTTTAAAAAATTGCTCAATAGCAAAATCCAGTCAATCTAGTGATAAAACAAGACAGAAAAAGAGTGAGGGAGAGAAGGAAGAAAGAATGAATTAGGAACTGAAGAAACTGTTAAAAGGACTGGTAGCAAACACCAAATTTAAATTGACCCCAAAAATTTTTATGTATTTCTTTTGCTTGGTTAGAGAGACTACATTCTTCATGTTGAATAGGTAATACAAATTTCAAAAGACAGAGTATGAAAAGTAAATCTCCTTCCTATTCTAGGACCCTCTCTAGAGTTAGCAACCACTGTCAACAATTTTGTGCATGTTTTTCTAGAGATATTCTATGCATATGGAAGTAAATATACCGATTTATTTTTGCACCAATGGGGGCAAACTGTAAACACTATTCTACCTTGATTATGTGTTTGCCTGTTTTACTTCATAGTATGTTTGGCGTATTTTTTATGTTACTACATGCAGAGCTACCTCATTCTTATAAATGGATCCGTAACATTTTCAGAATGACTGTACTTGTTTTAACCAACCTCTTTATGGTGTTTGCAGTCTTTTGCTATTACAAACTACTGCAGTCATTTTCTATGTGTTGGTTTATACCTGTATATGGATATCGAAAGAATAAAATCCTGCAAGTGAAATTGCTAATCAGAGGGAATATAGATTTTAAATTTAAACAGATACTGACGAAAATCCTCCTCCAAAAACGTTGCACCAATTTATAGTCCCACTAACAAAGTATGAGGACCAACACTTTTTGAACTTGGCTCTCAGCTCAGTGGAAAACTTACAGTATTTCTTGTTATGAGCTAAGTTGAGCATCTTTCATAGGTTGAAAAGCTCTTGGTTTCCTCTTTTGTATACTCTTTGTGATCTTTGCCTATTTGTCTGATTGTTAGGGTTTTTTTCCTTATTATTTTGTAGTAGATCTTGCAAATATTTTTTTCCCTATTTCTCTTTCGATGTTCTTTATGCTGGGCTTCTTTTTTGAGGTCATGCAAAAATTTGTTATAAAGAAGTCAACTTGTTTCCTCCCAGTTGGCTATTTTGTTCCCAAATATTTTTAGGTAATTCATCTTTTCTTCACATTTTCTTCCTGACATTTTAAAATGTCACCTTCACATTGAATCCATTTAAATACAGAGCCAAGGTAAAATCATTTATATGGTTAATGAGCAGAACGTAAGCACTATAAACATTGACAATGTAAAAATACTAATGTAACTAGAAAAACCTAGGGGTAGGAAAGAAAGATAAGTGTACTGATTTTCCTGTTTTTCAGAGTAGATGGTCAATAATATCCTTAAGTTGAAATGCATAGATTAAAAAAAAGGTAACTCCGATCTCCTTCATTTTTTTCTTTTCTTTTTTTTTTTTTTTTGGTTAACTTTAGAGAGTCTTTTAAGAACTGGTAAGTCTTGGTGAAGAAATTATAACTGAAGTTAAGCTTTACTTCATTGTCTTCTAATTCTGCTACATTTAAGCATACCTTAATTTAATAGACTTTCTTAAAGTTAGCATGTATAATCTTTCCATGTAAAATTATTTCTAGATATCTATTATCCTGAGAGAGAATGTCTGAAATGATGTTCTTTAATTTAGTAATATTTATTTCTGGATGGTGGAACTTGGGATGATTTACTTTCTTTTATGCATTTTTCTGTATTATTTAAATGTTTCAAGGAAATATACTTTCAAGAACAATAAAATCATTATTTTAAAAGGATCTGGGGACCTTTTAGCTGAAGGGGTTTCGAGAATAATGGGCTTTGGAGAACAGGGAAGAAATGGGATTGCAGGCAGAAAGAACATAAGCAAAGGCATGTAGGTGTGAAACACATGGCATGAGTCAAGAACTATCTAGAATGTTCTATATGCGTTGGATGGGAAAGAGGATTAGGAGTGACTAGATTTGAACATAGAAATACACCCACGAACCTGGCTGTAAAAGGCCAAATTTCATCATGGAGGCATGTGTTTAAGACGGTGAGTGTATCAGTTTTAAAAGGCTTAAACAGGTACGGGTTTAATTATCTTGTGCAATAAGAAGTCCAGGGCATTGAGAAAGGAGATGTTATAAGCAGTCCAGAGCAATAAGCAGCTCAACAATGTCATCATGGATCCAAGCTCCTTCTATCTTCCTACTTTATTATCCTCAGTATGTGGCTTTTATCTTCTTGGTCACAAAATTGCTCCTGCATCTCCAGGACTCAAGTCTTTATCCCAAGAGGGAAAAAGGAGGAAGGGCAGAGTGGGAAACACCTTTTCTTCAGGTGCTTTGCCTTTTTATTCTAGAAAACAAAACTTTCCTCAAGGACTTCTGCCTCTATAGTATCTCACCAGAACTCAGTCATACTGTTATCTGTAACTCCAAAAAAGGCTGGAGTTCAACTCTTTACTTTCTAGTGCTTACAATAAATGAAGGCAAGGAAAAGAGGTTGGAATGGGAGATGAATGGGACACCAGTGTCTGTCACAATGAGTGACACAATCAAATCTATGTCTTAGAAAGATAACAGCAGTGGTAGACCACCAGAAAACAAACACCAAATGAGGAAACGTGGGTTACAGGCGTAGCTCTTCCACTATTTGACTGTGTAAATCACTTAACCTCTCCGTGCCTGAATTTCCACACCTTGAAAATAAAAGAATTTCTAAGAGCTATTCTTGCTCTAAAATTCACTGATCCTGAGTTATATAGCTTGAAGTTCACTGAAAACCAGTTTGCTCTTATATAATCACAAGTACTAGAGGAGCAAAATAATTTACTTTCTCCCTTTCATGCTCATCTGGTACTATTCAGGCTGCACTCACTTCCGGGAATAGTGTTTCATTTTCAGAAAGGACTCTGCAGAGGAAGAGATATTTTATAAAACCAGGAGCAAAAGCCACAATTCCCCTGACAGCAAAGTCAGGATGAAGAACCACAAGACATGTGCATGTTTTTCTCACAGTGGCCCTACTCCTCTTTTATAGCTGTTTAACTTATGAAGAAATGAAATCCATTCCATCATCCAAGGCCTACCACACTGTATCCCATTTTCCCAATATCTTCAAAGTATAATTTCACATAAGTGAATTTTCCACATAACTAACTTTTCCTTTAAAAAAAAAAAAAAAACTTCCTCCTCCCACTTTTGATCATTTTCTGCGTAATCTTGTCAAAATACATGATGTACTTCTGTGCCTTCTTAAAGAAAGCATAATGAACATAATTTCACTTCTTGGTGGCTCAGAAACAGTAGTGTTTCATCAACTCTTGGAGTATAAAAAGACTGCATGAGGAGCATTTTCCCCTTTGCAAAATAGCCCACAAACCTTTGTTCATTTTTATGTGGTTGGTTGGTAGGTGTGTTAGTCATGGATTTTCCTGTCTTTTTCTTGAGTGTCATGCTGCCTGAAAACTTTCATAGGACAGTTCTTTTTACAACAAATAACTCTAGTTCTAATAGCTCTCCATCCTCTCTTCTCCCACTTCTATTCCCTCTTTCTAAACTGATACAGGCTAAGAAACCAGGGAACCAGAATATGTGTAGAGATCACTGATAATATTGAAAGTGAGGGCCATTTATACCAGGAAAAGTTTAAGGACTTTGGGGCAGTTACTTTCACTCCTCAAAGGCCCTTTTCCCTTATTTCTGGTTGTACAGCTCTGTAAAGGCAAAATGAAGTTGCCAGAATTATGACCTCTAAATAAATTGAGTAACTGCCGTATTTTCAAGCATACACTAGAATGACCAGAAGAAAACAAAATATATACAAGTCTGTTTCAACAGGGTAGGGTAGGGTGGGTAGGAGGATTGAGGCAAATTATGACAATAATATCTATAACTCTGCATTGCTTCTACTTGTTATGTATATTCAAATCTTTCAGATTTGAAAGTTACAAGTCTCTTAAGCTACTAATCATTATTACTTATATGTTAAAGTAACCTCAAGAATTCTCAAGTAAACTCTAGGACGAAGTCCAAAAAATGGGGCTTGAGGAAGAAGATAAAAACATAGTTATCTCTTTATAAGATTTATGCAAAATGAGAGGCTATATGAAATGAGTCATATCTTATTATTTCTGCAAAATCAATAGGCCTATTTTATGTCTATTTACTTTTATAATGTAAATCTTGCCCCCCAAAATCTGTTTTCTCATTTTCAGTTTCTGTTTATTTCTCCTCCCTCAATCAGCACGATTTTGTTCGACGAGACCGGCCACTACGTGTCCTAATTGACCTCATACAGAGGACAAAAGATGCTGTTCGCGAATTAGATAACCTACAGTACCGAAAAATGAAAAAAATCCTTTTCCAAGAGACGCGAAATGGACCCTTAAATGAGTCACAGGAGGATGAAGAAGTAGGTTCAGTTTATTTGGTAGGCACTGATGGGGTGCCTACTACATGGGAAAGTTCTGGACTGGGCACTAGGAAAACCACTTTTGGTGATAAAAATGTAATTGGTGCTTTGGACCTCAAGAATCATGCAGAGTTGACAAAAGAGACATTCATAAAATAACTCTTATATAAGACAAAATATGAAAAATGCTATTGAGGTGTGTCACCATGCAGGGGTCCATAGTGGGGAGAAAATAAGCCTGCTGGGGGGGGATTAGTGAAGTTTATGTGCAGGACATGATGTGGGTGGTTTCTGAGAGACAGGCATAGGACATTTTAGGCTCAGGAGAGTGCTGTGCTTTAGGAAGATTATCCTGGCAACAGAGTGTATTACGACAGACTGGAATGTGTCACATTCTGTATAATAGTCCATGCGAGAGGTAATAAGGGCAATGTCAATGGGGATGGGGGGAAAGGAACACTTCTGAGAAACACTGTAGAGGTGGATTTGATAATACAGTGCTTCTCATTGAAAGTGACAGTGACAGGTGAAGAGGAGTTTAAGGGGACTCTGAGCATTTTAACCCAGGTGACTAGGGTATGTCAATACAAAGAACAGAGAAAAAGAACCAAGGAGAAAGAGTAGGTTTCGAATGATTTCAGTTTGATACCTGTTGAGGTTAAGGTCCTGGCATCATATGCTGCCGACATAGTATACAGACTTTGTGTTTTCTCATTCAAATAACTTAAGAAGGATTGGTTGAGGTAAGGGTAATGACAGTTGGGACACCTGAATGGTGACGTCTGGCAGTTGGTTGGAAAATTCAAACCCAGGACATAAGAAAGAGGTCTGGGTAAAGGGTGGTTGGCTGGGGGTCAAGAGCATTAAAATGGTAATGAATCAGGCGTTGAATGTAGAATGGGAAGAGGGCCATGCCATATGAGGGACCCGAGGAAACAAACATCACAGATGTTCAGCAGTCCACAACTTCAAGGACGGAGCAGCCAGTATCATCAGATGCCACAGAGAGGTCAAGTTAGGCAAGGACCCCGCCCCCCCCCAAAAAAATGTTAACTGGGTTTTACAAGCAGGGCATTCTTGATGACCTTCATAAAAGCAGCTTTACAGGAGTAGTTAGGATGAATAATAGATAACTGTGGGTTTGTAGAATAAATGGGAAATGAGAAAGTAGAGACAGTGAAAGCTGGTTATTTTTAAGATTCATAAATTTGGATAAGAAGGAAAAGGGACAAAGGGCAGTATGGAGAGAGGTCTGTAAGTATGGGGCAGATCTCTTCATATTTATAGGCAGAGTGGAAGAAGCCAGGACAGAAACATTGAAATTAGATGAGACAGATGTAGTTAAAGAAGTAGGATCTCAGCCAAAATCCATAAGGAACTTATCAAACTCAACACCCAAAGAATAAATAATCAAGAAATGGGCAGAAGACATGAACAGACATTTCTTCAAAGAAGACATCCAAATGGCCAACAGACATATGAGAAATTGTTCTACATCACTCGGCATCAGGGAAATACAAATCAAAACCTCAGTGAGATATCACCTCACACCAGTCAGAATGGCTAAAATTAACAAGTCAGGAAACGACA